GTCCCCGGCTGGTAGTTGTTAAAGGACAGTTTTTGGCAAAAGAATTAACAGATAAGTTTTTAATAACTGGCTCTCAACACATTCCCATTTATTACTTCTACTAACCCTAACAATTGGTCTGGCTGCCCCCCCCCCAAAGCTGGTCTCCCATTGGTAAAAAAACATGAGCATCAAAAAGATATATTGTTCTTGTGATGTGGCCCCCCAGCTGCAACTGTAGAGCCTCTTAATGCCTGAAGCTGGTGACAGGGCTGCATAAATCTCTCTATAGCTATTTGCCTAATCTGTAATACCTTAAAGAGTTTCTGGAATGCTCACATTCTACTGTTGTTACATGTATTTCTCGACTTAACTTTGAAGATCAAGGTATCGATGTACTCCACTGGTGACTGTGCTCGTTCCTACCAACCTCAAGTCAGCCCATCCACATACAACTCCCTTATCATCAATGTTAATATCTCAAGCCCAACAAATCTCTTGTTCTACATCAAGAGCAACAGCAGTGTGAGTACAAAAGCTGTTCTTGTTAGGATTTGAAGATTTGATATTCTGGATGTAGCACTTGACTTGGTAATCACAAATCCTTACTGTCTGTGCATCACAGGATGAGTTTATGCTGCTTGAGACAGTCAACGGAAAGCCATTCTTTCGATGGAATGTAGGTGTCGATGTTGGTTCCATCAAGTCATCTGAAGTCATGCAACTAAAGGAATGGTACAAGATTGAAGCACAGAGGTCAGACTTGTCATCATCTATTTCAGTTGTCAAAGAATCATTCAGGGATCAGAACATTAAGGTTTGTTTGGTTATTTGCTGCATGGAGGAACCACTTTTAGTTTCAGTTTCAGTATGTGAAGTGGGACACTTTCTGTTTATCATTTCCATCCCTCTGTAAAAGGGTCTTGAAGTAATAAATGTACCTAATTTCTGCCCATCAGGATTGGGCATGTTGGCACCCTTAAGGTCCAGAAGATGATATCTATGGAGAACAATCCCAATCCAGAGAACATTATGGAACCAGCTGTGGCTTTGACAGGGATGTCTGCTGTTGGCTCCAGCATCCTGGATGTTGATAGCTCCAGTCACTTGTTTGTTGGAGGAGTACCCAGAGAATTCGATGTAAGTTTGCTCAGAATGTTGAGCAACGCTTGCATGGCAATGCTCAATACTAAGACCTATTGGATAGACACGATTCAGAACTTAGAGGATGGCACAAGTTATATCTCTGAAATGGCAGCTCTGAAATGTATTCCTCTCGTGAATCACATTTAAATGAGGTCACTGTTTAAAACCTGTCTGTTAATGTTGCTGATTATTCCAAGGTTGTTAAAACAGCCAAGTGTTATAATAGATCATCTTGTTTTCATGTGATGTTACATGTAGGATATCACACTTCAATCTTAAATGTGTTGGGCCAGTGTAGTATCAGTATTTTTAGTGTTCATGCACTTTTGTGCACTTGGATCAACTTGGCTGGATTATGTTTATGTATTTTTCTTCTAAACAACTAGAGTGTAGTCCAAGGCGTTGAGAGTAAGGAGTTCAGAGGATGTATGGGAGAAGTCATCTTTGATGACATACCTGTTGGGCTGTGGAATTTCAAGACCATTGAAGGACAGTGTCAGGGATGTGGTAACAGGTGCATCCTTTCTTCCCTGTCTCAATTTCATTGGTTCAACTTGAAAACATTCTTGCTTTTGTTTGGATGGTCTCTTCCTGAAATGACAGTTCTATTCACGTCGTCAAGACCCTCCAACTTTGCAATAAGTAAATAATTAACAAAACATAACCAAAGAGATTCATGACTGACCAATCAGCAATCCACTTTGAAAATAGCATAAAGGGACCCAAAGGAGAAAGTTTTAGGTAGTTAATTTTTTTGCAAAGCAAAGCTCACAAAACAGTTTGGATAGCACCAATTGGAAAGAGGAGAAGCTGGACTTGCAGAGTCCCTCAACAACTAACATCCCTTCCTTGAACTTTTCATATTTCTTCAACAGTCCCAGTACCACAGTGGTAGAAGAAGGTGTATATAATTATGACGGGACAGGTTACTCCCTACTCCCTCGACCAAGGCAATGGAAGGATGGGTTTGTTCCCATTGATTTCCAACTGAAGACGCAAGCAGAAGAAGCACTGCTGTTTTACATGGCTTCACAAGACCAAGTGAGTCAAGGTTGCTTAAGTTCTTCATAGCTTGGAGCCAAATTTTTGTTAGTTGACAAATAAAATGCATTCTCTTCTTTTGTGTCCTTTATCATAGCGGGACTTTATGGCTATTGAACTTATTGATGGTTACATGGTTGTGTCACATGACCTCGGCAGTGGCATAGGCAAAGTGTCATCACTGGAGAGAGTAAACACAAACACTTGGATATCAGTCAGTCTGTCCAGGAGTGGTCAGAAAAGTGAGTTTAGAGCCTGATTAGTGCAATTAGTGTAAACTGTTCAAGGTGCTTGTACTATGCTGGCAAAATTTCCATTGCCACTCTCTTCTTTTGTAATTTTTTTTCAAAAGACAAATGCTGCGTTTTTTCAATAGGCTTCAAGTGCTCATAGCACCCTCTAAAGTTAAAATATTGAGTAGTAGATAGATTTAAAGTATACCACTTGAATGGTTAAAAAGTGGAATCGTAATTTTCAAACTGATCTGAAATTGCAGATTGATCTGAAATCAAGTATTTTCTTTTTCTGTGTGACAGGTTACCTGTACATCAATGCAGTGAGACAGGGAGTAGGTCTGTCCCCTGGATCATTAACTGGATTAACTATTGAGGAATCAGAGTACCTTCATGTGGGAGGTGTGCCAAGCTCCTATAAAGTCAAGTAGGTACATTTCTGAATTTGAAATTTTCCTTATGTCACTTTTTAATTCATCTAGTGAATTCAAACTTTGAGCAGTCTTTCCTTCCTTGAAGTAGAATGCTACTCTTCTCAGAGGACCGCACTACCTTCCAGTCATAAGTTAAATTATTATTTAGGCACATTTTTAAATTACAGGAGTGAATATTAATCTAAGATTGTTCGATTGATTCAGCAACCTCATCATACATTTTATATATTTTATATAATAGGTTTTTGCCCTTACCCAACGTATATTAATAAGCACTGTATGCTCAGTGCTTGTCCGAGAGCTTGCGAAAAAAACCTCACATCATACATCTTTTGGCTAGTAATAATTGTTTCTTTGGGGTAACTCTTCAGGCGAGATGTTACCAGGCAGCGCTTCTATGGATGCATCAAGTTGTTTGGTCTCTATGGAAACTTGCAGAACCTGCTTTTGCCCGGTCTGTCAACAGGTGTTGAGGATGGCTGCATTGCACGGGTAAGAGGAATTCTTGAGACAGTAGGATTTTATTTAATTTAAAATAGATCCTTCTCAGGCAAACCCATCAAAACCTGCTACGTGTTTCTTTTTGTTATCCTCTTCCTTCTGCATTCTTTTCTTTTCCAGACTGTTCGAAGTCTTGGCTTACTAGACGGTGCTCAGGTCAAAATGCGCAACATTGCTCTCGGAAGGATTGCAGATATTTCCTTGACTTTCACCACCAGGCAAAGCAGTGGTATCCTCTTAGCAGCAGGAGAACTTGCTAGAGACAGGACAAGAAGAGATGTGGACCCTGACCAAACTGATGTAAGTCTGTGCTCTATGGTGGAAAAATAGGCCCATTGGCCATGAACCATATTACATTGCCACGACTGATGCCGGCAATAAATCATTTACAAAATTAAGTTTACTTCAAATAATATCTTTTTTTTATAATGTCCAGGTATCTTATGCCATTGCACTGGTTGGAGGTCGTATTAGAACTTATATAAATGCAGGTCAAGGACTTCTGACTCTAACAACTCTATCATCATTAGGATATTTTAATGATGGTATACCTCATGTAGTACTTCTACAAAAGGAGGATTTTAGGTAAGTCCAATTTAAAGTTAATGCTTTATTTGAATGTTTTTTGAAGAGTGTTGGAAGAAAAATGCACAGTGGATAGAAAAAACCCACATCTTTGTCTTTGTAATTATTTGCACACTTTTATTTGCAAGGTACTGCACGTATACAGGTTGTAGTCAACATGATTTAAGGAACGAATTTGTATTAACAATTATTTCAAACTTACTTTATATAGAAACTTAAAAACTTTAATTTGATTTCTGGTTTCTTTAAGAGCATACTTGCAGCTTTACACTCATTTTGTGATACATCATTACCTGTGGAAAAATGTGGCGTAACGGTTAGGTTTGTAGCTTCTGATTATAGGGTTGGTGGTTCAAATCCTAGCAGGTGGTTACATGTTGTGACCTTGGGGAAGTCACTTTAAACATCTACATGCCTCTCTTCAGCCAGGTGTAAATGGGTACCTCTGAGGTCATCACTGCGATGGTGGAGAGCTTTTTGTCCCCGGTGGTAATCCGCTTTCTCTAAATGCTTCAAACCATGGTATACTGTTTCAAAACAAGGCTGGATTATCTCCACTATTGAGAGCAAAAAAAGTTGGTAATGCCCAGCAGCTCTGTCTTTTGTGCTGAGCACGGTCTTTTGTTATAAGGCCCAACTCTTTCGTCCCAGTTCCGGGCTCCCCGGCTCTGCATATAAAGCCTATTTACACGAAAACGGGTCGCCCAACAGGAAGTGGTTAATAAATGCTTTTATATTATCATAATTATTGTTACATAAAAGTGTTGAATTGTGTTGTTTGATGTCTTTCCCAGCATTCGCCTGATAGTGGATGACATTGTTGCTAGAGCAGGCAGACTTCCTGGAAGTGAAGGCTTAATTCCAGTAACTTCACCTCTGTACATCGGCAGTGTGCCTACTTCAGTCAGGCTAGGCCCTGCGTTACAGAGCATGCGCGCACTCACAGGCTGTGTCAAAGACCTGGTCATTATGGGAAAGTGAGCAGTGCTCTGATTTTTTTATTATTACTCGGTCCAACTTTCTGAGATTTATTAGATTGTGGAAAACTTCCTGGTCTGATCCAAACCAATGTTGGGCATTTTGTATCGCAACTTTTTATTATCTGTGTTTTTTCATTTTTTATTTATGCTGGATACTCATTTTAAAGTCATTTTGATCACTCAAGGATAAATTAGAACTTAAGTAAAGGAGTTTTATAGGTGAAACAGCATTCGGGAAAAATTCCAGTTGTAGATGTATGTTTACACTACATATTGTAAACGTTTATTTGACAGATTGGTTGGTTTTGAGTCAGCAAGCTCCTTCAGTAATGCGACTATCGGGAAATGTGGTACTCTAACACCACTCCCACCAGAAGATATTACCCAGGGTAAATTGCTGCAGTATATTTAAGGGGGCCTCAAACTCCTAATACCTTTCTTTCCTGAAATTTAGTATGTATTTGTAATTTAGTGTGGCCATTGGTATCTATAAGATTTTCAGGCAATGGGAATACCAAAGATAAAACTAATAATCCTTCAATTAAAAACAGTTCCTTGTTGCATGATAAACTTTTAGGTTCCATCCAATTTGGCAGAGACTTTGCAAAGGGGATTCAAACTCTCATCAAATACAAGAAGGATTGCTATTTATTAATCAGTTAGGAATGATGGGGTTTAAATGCTGCTTCAGTCCGTCCCAAAGTCTTAAAAGTTGCCTTATCTGCGCTTGCACCTTCTAAATTTATTGCTGTAATTTGTGTCTTTTTACTTAAACATCTTGCTGTGGCTTTGAGTCTAATAGACCTAAAACATAATGACATCACATTTGCTTACATATGCACTTGGAGGCTCAATAGATACCATCCCACTTCACTGCCATAGGAAAGCACACATGTAAACAAAACGTGACTTTATGTTTGAGGTCTATTCAATCCCATCCTTTGCCCTTGTCCTTCCCCAATGAATTTCCTCTTCCCCGATCCTTTTGTATAGAGTCCACTGATCCTCCCGCCATGCATGATTCTCCCGCTATGCCAGGTTAGTCTTGGTTTCAGTTTGTTTGGCTGTCTGTAATTTAGCAAAATGCTCAGCTCTTAATATTTGTCATGTAGCAAATTAGTTAATCAGCCACAACTTTCTAGCTGAAGAAAATTGTAGGAAGGGCTGTGAAGCACTGGCAATGAATATGAACAGTATGGTAAATATGAAAAGCAATAAGGTTCAAAAGTATGGGAATTATATTGTTGAGTACTGCTTTTCAAATTTTCTGTACTGATTTTTTGTATTATTTCTGGCTTTTTTTTAAATTCAAGATGATATCGATTTATACTGATTCTAATTTTAGCCAATGTAGCCAGCTTGGTGGTGAGGTGGTTGTTATTTCATGCATCTGAGTTCCAACCACTATATTTTATACAAGACATGTGCATATTTAGAAAACCTTGTGTTATATTTACTGAATACTGATTAACACTAGATGTAAATTTTGACAGGTGAGGTTGAAAACGTAACAGAGCCGAGTCCAGCTACCACCCCTTCACCGATGGGCTGTGCTGTAACTAAGGAACCATCTATCATTGCCAATGCTGTAAGATTTGGCTTATCAATGGATAGTCACATCCAGCTGGCCATTGACCCACTACAATTCGGCAAAGTGTAAGTATTGTCCTTCTAGCTGTCCGTGGCCTGGAAAAAACGTTTTTATTTGACACATGCAGCAGTAACTGGAATGCTGTCATTGTCCTATGCTTGGCCTTGTAACTGAGATTCAAAAGGGATACGGATCCACCCTTTGAGAGCATCAAACTTTACTTTTGAAATAAAGGACACAACTCATCATAATAACTAACAAACAAAACAGTCCTTTCTTTCCTTCCAAGTAGCCATCCACTTTCCCCTCATTAGTTGCTGTCCCTTAATTATTGCAGTCACATCGACCTTTTTTAAAGTTGAAACTTTCAGTGCTGTTCATGTCATCATTAACCTTCACATTCTTTCTGATGACGTTATTTCTGGAGGACGAGAAATACTCTTCATGGTTCTGACATTGATCAGTGGGAATAGCCTGCAGCAAAACATCATGCATCATAATGAATTTTGAAGCTAAGGACAAAATATAAAGGATTACTGTTTTATGTGCATTAAGGTCTTGTTCATTATCAGTATGTAATATATATAACATCATGTACTGTGTGCTTCTCATGGGGGGGCATTTAAGCATTCTTTTCTTCCTCATGAGATAATTGCATCCCTAGCTTGGTTACTCAACATCTCAGGGTTAGAGAACGCCTACGGTTGATGGAGGCTATAAGTTATGAAAGGTCTCTGAGCGAAGCATTCACATTGCTAACGTCAGCAAGTCACAGGATGTTCTCATGATTTGTTTGTGAGGTAAAGTGCGTCACTGATTTCATCCACTCATGTGTTGTAGGTTATCCCTGAAATAGACCATCGTTGTGGCTTTCATCAATTTTGCAATATTCTCTGTCCTACTTTAAAATATGGTTAACTTTACTGGAACATGTCAAGGCAGTTGAAGATTATAAATCTATTGGTGTTATGGGCCCCGTCATGTAACTAAGAGAGGAACAATCTCTCTCAGGAGATGTCCTCTACATGTGTGCTTGTTCTCACACATCTATTATGGAAGACATAAATCTGAGGCATGATATAACTCAGGTGCACTTTAGTAGTACTATTAGGGAGTCTCCTCAGATCATCGTCTTGCCATTAATGAGGGGTCACTTGTGTACAGAGCAGATACATAATTTGAACCTTCTATGTAGGGATGTAGATTATGATTGTCCCCGCTGTCAGTGTTAACTGGTCATAATTGTGTACTGAATGACAGCACCCCTTACCAATGCATATATCATCAGAAATAAGTTGTGATGCAGAAATGTTGCTTTAAGATTCACCGTCACAGGTTTATATGCATGCTTTGCAAATACCTCATCCTTAATGAGACAAGGACTTTGGAAAGCATACGTCCATTAGAGGTGCAAGCAAGGACATACAACTGATTAGAATCTGCTGACCAAAACAAGTGCATTAGTACAGTGTACAGTGACCCTTGCCATACCAGCCAAGGGTGAATCTTTAACCAGTATTTGGTGGAGTGGCCCAACTTTTGGGAGGAGAGGGCAAAAATAGAAATCTTTTTATGTAACTTTGTGTGACCTTTGCGGGGGGCTTTTTACATGTTGTTGGATGGAAGGAAAAATGGGCAGGTAAATTTCTTTCCTTATTTTTCAGAAAAAAAGGTTTTCTCTTTCTGCCTTTTTAGGGAGCCAATCCACCCATGGCACCAATGCACATATTTAATTGAATTATGGATTTGCGCTATCCCATAGACTTGGTTTAAATCATAGATGCTTCATATAGCCCATAGCCAATATCATGTCCTCTTTGTTGACTTAATAAGCTCCAGCCTCAAAGCCAAAATATTTACATCTGATTTTTCAAGGGCAGCAACCTTCCTGTTTTAGGCCACCTTTCAGACACAAGAAATGAATACTTAGCAGTGGACTGTCTGTCTAACATGAATCGCTGCAGTGCCCCAAACACCGAAAACGTGTTACGCAACAGATGAACAAAGTTGATTAAAGTGACAGATTATTTATCAGTCTCACTTTCTGTGTTGCAGAAGAACATAATTATCTTCAAAATTTGGTTATTGCCACCGTAGGGAAACTAATTCCATCCCCCTTAATTTTTTAAAAATACACTCTGCAATTAGGCCTTTGATCTGTTGATCTATGCTGTGATCCACATATTTTAAACTTACATCCTCAATGATTCTCCCAGTGTGGGATATCAATTTATTTGTACACGTATTTAAAAAAAGGGGGCTTGTGTAAGTCATCCCATATCAGATTTCCCTTCCCCAGGAAGAGAAGCCCTCAAAATCCTCTCATGTCAATATTCCTCATTATGTCAAATGTTTCATGTTCATCAAGGTTGCCATGTAGGCCTGTATTGCATTAGTATAACGTAACTGTAGATGTCACTGCATGAATAAGTTAGCCTTCCATGTTGATTGGATTGAATGGGGAACATAATCAGAACAATTCTCCATTTTCAATAACAGTTTTTAAGGCAGCTGCGCCTATCCTGCATTTGTAAGCAGTTGCTTGAGAAGAGTTCAGACTTCTGTGATGGGGTAAACTTGCAATCTTTCATTTCATATTGTTTTCCTGTCTTTCCTGCACTTCAAAGACTGGAATAAAAATACTATAAATATAAAATTATGACTTTACACTTCAAACCTCCAAGCAGAATCTTTCCAGCCAAACATTGTAAATAATTTGAATCTTGAAATACAAGAAGCTATATTGTATTGTACTGTGTGATTCGGCACAGTTCTCCATCGACAAATAGCGAGTATATAATTAGGCTGAGTCTTTATGTCTTCCCTGGCTTACCTTAATTACTACACAGTGAGAGGGAATGGGATCAGGCTTCATTTCCTGTCCTGTTAAGACAGACAGAGTGGTTAGAAGATGATGTAAATTGATTTGCTGCTGTTAATGGCTTCTCTTGATGATAGCCTCACCTTGGTGCAATGAATCTGTTGGCACACTCACTGGCAATGACAACAGCAACTATGGTCTTCCAAATTGAACTTTATAAGATTGAAAAAATAATTGATTTCTGGATATTTTGTAAAATCGTGGGGGAAATTAGGAAAGATTTTCCAAAGAAAGCACAGTCAGTAAAAAGCAGTTGATGAGAAAGCAAAGTAATTTCAAAGAAATTGCCAGTGTCTTTTCAAACACACACAAAAAAATCATTACTCAAATTAAAACAACTGTCTATAGAACAAAAAATTGTTTATTTCATTTAAATTTTTAAAACAAGTTTTTACAATATCCATACCCATGATGATCGTAACATTTATAACATCATTTAAGCTCCCTTTTTTGGGCAGAGTACATGTAAGTAAGGTATCGCAGCTAAAATTGTAAAATGCTTATATAAGTTTATTTATCACAGAGGTTTTCTCCTTGTGCTCAGCTCATTAATACAATTTTTGCAAGCTTCAACTAAACAATGCTATGTAACATTTATATGTAGCGTGCTTTCAGTTTTAGCTGTCACAAGTGTATTCTGACTTACAGTATCACAGATATTTCAGCATTGATATACATCAGCACCATTTTGTTTCTCAATCACCGTTTTCCTCTTCCAGTCGAGAATAGTAAAAAATTCACTGATTTAGATAAATTTCAGGAGATGCTATTTCTGTGGAAACATTCATGGCATGCACCATTGAAAAATACATCATGGATCTTGGATATACTAAGCAAGAGATTCACTTGTTTGATAACACAAATTTTGATATACAGATATTAGTCTCATCTGCAGTTTTAGACCATTGTTAAAGTTAAACTGTTAGAGTGATGTTTAATCTTGTCATAAGTGTCCAAAAGACCAACTTTCAAAAACACACACATAACTTGATACATAATACACAACCATGTCCAGTTTGATAACCAAATTTCTGTGACCTGTGCAGTCTGTCTACAAATGAGGCAGGTTTACATATACTTAACTCCAAATTCCTGTTGACAGCTCATATTTCACAGATTCTAAAGTCCTTACAAGCAATATTAACAGTCGTATAACTTCCGGGGGGCCCATCACAAAGTAGGTTCACATAATGAGCCCAATAAACACAACAAAATTTTGGGGCAAATTTTCAAATTTTTATTTTAGCGTAATTATTGCAGATTAGTTTCAGTGGAATTTTTGTCGAATTTTTTATACTTATTACCACATTCCTACCACAGCATTTCACTAAAAATACATTTTCTTTACCCAATGACATCACAAGGAAACTCAACTTTACATTTTAAAACGGTTATTATGTTGACTGTGAACTGCATTCATGGGTGTCATAATATCAGTCCATCATCTTTTGGATGGCTGCTTGAACTGCCTGTTTTATGATTATGTCACCTTTTAACCCTCTATCCCAGCCCATCACGCCCCATCTTACTATATCCACCTGCCCCTCTGGTGTAAAATTTTTAGAAGGAAAACAAAAGCTGACAGTAGTTCAATATTCTCTCCATGCCCATGCATTGGTTGCCCAGCTTCTCTCATCTCTTCTCTCTCTTTCAAAACTAATAAAGGGCACATAGGACACCAACCATATCAAGAGTTTCAACAAATCATGTCATTTCCAAAAGAATTCAGATTATTTCAAATAATTCATCTTCTTTGAAAGCCCAACATCCTCTCCAAATTTGTTTTCCTGAGGTTCTCATCACCTTTATTCACTCAGTTGCATCTTTTTATTTGTCTTTGTAATGCTTCACTACAGTTGACTTTCTCTACATTCGTTCACGCCAGAAAGATTGGAGTTTGAAACTTTCACTTCAGTGTTTACACAACGATAAGGTGACAAAAGTGTAGCTGGATAATTAGATGAGTTTCTTTTTGGACAATGAAGCAACTTGCTAAATGCGTCCTTGAAATCTTTGTTGAACTTAGTGTAGAGAATGGGATTGACCATGGAGTTGAAATAACCAAGCCACAGAAAAAGGCTCTGCCAGAATGCCGGCAGGTGGCACTGCTGGCAAAATGGAATCACCAACGCAGTGATGAAAAACGGTAGCCAGCAAATGAGAAAAGTACCTGTGACGATGGCTAAGGTCTTGACAGCTTTCTGCTCCCTAGCTGAGGCTAGATTGCGTCGTTGAATTATACGCCGTTGTATGAGTGGAGAACAGGGCACATTGAGAGTTGATTGGCTGCCGTGACCCTGACATTCAGTAATAGATATTGAGATGCACCTGCCATGGGTGGGAGATGGTTGGGTGCATTGAGTTCGAAGTGGGGATTGTAGAATGGATGCATCAGGTTTCAATGAGCCAGGGCTAGACTTGCGTCTTTGGCCATTGAATCTCATGGACTTCTTCATTATTGGGGTTGTACTTCCTAATTCACCAATCATTGGTTCGCTGTTAGAGATTCGTCTTAAGAAAGAAGATATTTTTCTGGGGAAATCAGCTGTTGATCTTCTGTCTGGTGTTCCAGAAGATGATGCTAACGGTGTCTGGACCAGGTTTTTGGTCCCATGAATGCGCTTGCGTGCTTCAACAAAGATGCGTATGTAAACCACCAGCATAATCGTCATGGGAATAAAAAAGGCACCAAATGTGGAGAAGATTGTGTAGACTTGATTTTGAGTGATCATGCACGTCTTTGGGTCTGGATTGTCTGTGCGCCAGCCAAAAAGTGGAGTGATTGATATCATCACAGAGATGATCCACACTATTGCAATCATGGCCAGCATTCGTGATGATGTACGTTTCAGTTTGTACTTCAGTGGCTTGGTGATAGCCCAGTAGCGATCCAGTGCAATGACACAGAGATTTAATATACTAGCTGTGCAACACAAGACATCCAATGAGATCCAGATATCACAGACAACTGCACCAAACTTCCATTCCACCGTCAGCTCTTGAGTGAGGCTAAGTGGCATTACTACCAAGCCAACCATGAGATCTGCCACGGCCAAGGAAGCAATGAGATAAACTGGCGGAGTTTGGAGTGGGCGGTGCTTAATAACAGCAATCAGGATCATAATGTTACCAAAGATCACACACAGGATCATCAAACTAAGTCCCACCAACAAAATCCACTCCCTTGATGTGAAGTTCAAAGCTCGCATCATTGTGTCTGATGTGTTTCTTGAAAAGTTAGATTCAGTAAAATTCAGTGTGAAAGTTGTGACTTCACCCATTGTTGTTCTCTATGCTCATCGACGATCACAGATGATGACAGTATTTAATGTAAAGCCACTGGTCGTTTTAATTCAGTACAATGTATCAGATAAACAAGTGGTTGTTGATTGAGCCAGTTTTCATCATGTTTGTCACGGTATTAGGAATTTTTTCATTTGCGTTCTTTCTTCCTGGAGTTATTTTTACACGGTGGCATCTATGATTGCAGAGGTAGTGTTGGTTGGTGATTGGTTGCCATATGGTTACATTTTACAGGAAACTCGCAGTTCACCTTGTTTTCATGTTTCCTGTCCAATATCAACTTTCAGCATTTCTTACTTTTCCCTGTGTGTAAAAACAACCATTTTGTTAAGTGATAATAATAAGTATGTGTGCTTCTTGATGATGCGGGGAGCAAGCCCTCATGAGAAGATTCAAAACAGTTTAACAGTGTAACCCCACACGCACACGCAAAATCACACACAAAATCTCACAATGCAAACATTCTTCACCTGCTATATCAGTCAATTGGCTGCACTCTAGTTGTCAGTTTGACGATGCAGTTTGCTCTGAAGGTGCCTCTGATGTTTATATCAGTCTGTGTGGAATCACAGTCAGCAATCTTGTACAGGTGTTGAACTAACTTCAGTCAGCACAGACAGCCAAACATTCACCAACATGATCAAGGATGTCCTTCAGGAGTCACACTGAAAAAGCTGCCACCCTGTGTCAATTCAGATTTGGAAGTGGAATGTTGATGCTTCTTTTCATCAGAAAGACAAATGTAATGCCTTGGTTTGCAGGGTGCAACAAAGCAGCATGATCCTTCCCACATAAGTGTGTGCAAACAACTGGCCCATCTCATGTTTAACTCTTTATCTGTAGGTGTTGCAATCCTGAACCTTGAATGCACTTACATCGTGTGCATTGCTTGCACTAAGTTAATGATGCATGAATAAAAGCTTGCATTAACTCAAGTGTAAAATACCAGACTTTTCCCTCTTTTTTGTGCATTAGTATGGTAAGGCTTACTTTAGAATTGTCATTTAATCTGGCTTCCTGCAGGAAAGTCGTTTTCCCACAAATTGTAATACTCGAGATAGCCAACTTAAGTGTACTCGTAGCAACTATAAGATTTACGAATACCATTCTCCAGGTCAAAGAAATTCAATCAGCCTAGGGAAGCCTTAGAATTTAAAGGAAGGACTGAGGTATACCCTATGTAATTGGAAAGTGACACCCTACGTTTGCAATCATTCATTAACAATAATAAACAACTCAGGCACACTGTTTTATTCTATCGTAAACACCCTATGGAAGTACAGTCTTTCATACATAACAGTTCTTTTCAATTGAGTTTATCTCTGTTGTGACTAATGATACGATTCTCAGTGCTGTTTATTGAAAGGACATTTAACAGGCTTCAGGTTGGATTCGAACCCTCATCCTCTCAAATTCAGTCTGCAGTTTGTTGATTGCTGAGATCAGAGCCTACATAACTGTGATAATACAACTGATTTTCTTCACATGCAGTGTTTATGTTACGCTCCTGGAAAAGTAATACTTTTTATTCTATTTTCAGTTTTATGGGTTATATAACTACCCTCAAATTTTCAAGATGTATTTTTTTGCATTGGGGAGAAGTTAACCCTCAAATTGTCAAGGATATTCACTGATTTGTGTCACATGTAGAAATACAATGGCACCTTTGGTACCAGTTTATTCGCTTGGCAAGGCTTTGATTTCGTGCTAATCAGTAATCATTTGTATATGCATATGATGTACTGAATGAGCAGTTTAACTCTGAAGACTATCAGTCAAATAAATCATGCTTCTAACTCTGTGGCATGGAAAATCTAATTCAATCTTTCTCTGTATTAGTACCGCATCAGGAACACTCAGTTAAATAGTCCCATTGACAGCTATAGCCTGCCTTTTCCAATTAAAATGAGCAAACAAGACTGCAATTACGATCTCCTATGATGACTGTGGTTGCATTGTGTTAAACAGGTAATGTTTATATTATAAAGGAACAGCCTGCTTATCTTCTCCATTAGTCTACCTTTGATTCACTTGATTGCTCTGTGATTCAGAATGCTCCTTGCAATATGAAAAATCCTGACATAAAAAACTGCAGAGTTTCTCAAACAACTGCAATGCTTGTACTTAACATTATGAAGCTTAAACAGACAGCTGCACAAAAAGTTGTTACCATTATCTTTCTTCATCTATAATACAGAATTCATATAGCTTAAATTGATTTAAAGAATGCTGTGTGATATGGCCAAAGAAGTACAGCTATCCGGTAAATCTCATCAAAGTACATCTAATAGCAAATTTGACTTTAATTGTATTGTTAAAGTCGTCTACTTAGTTCGCTGTAGGAAAAAGACCTTAAAGGTACAGTTTCATGTTTTCGAAAAAGTATTACTTACAAAAAAGTTACACTAAAAATAAAAGCAGTGACATGAAATTTGTCTTACCTTTTAGATCATCTAATGCTGCAATGATGAAATACAGCTGTCCAGTTGAATAAAGATGACTAGAATGTGAACACTGTTCAGAGAAGCAGTGACCACATTTACTTTTGCTTGAAGAACTGCGGCCCATTCACAGGGGAATGTCTGTCCTTTCTTTCTTGGCAGTTGTATTTAGCCTGCTCTGTCCTTTCTCTATGGTCAGCAGAAGGACCTTGTTCATCCACCTGATCAACTGTTCCCTTGTGGTCTTTGGAATTGCTGCAGATAATTAGCCTGTTAATGAATACATGTCCTCAGTGTGTTACCTCAAGGATCCCTCAAGAGAAAGTGTGTATCAGTCGTTTCTTACGAGCAACCTAGAATTGTATGCAGCTAAGAAACATATAGTTGGATCTCAGAAGAGAGACCAATTCAGCCTAACTCTGATGATCATTTGAACCAGTTACCACACTTTGCTAGTGACAAGTTGATTTATATAGAGTATCTAACAACTGAAGTAGATCATGCTTGTGGAAGTACACTTTGAGAGCCATTTAAGTAGCAATCTTATATTCAATTTTTTTCAGTGACTCATTCGATTCGTTAACACGCCCCACTCTTGATTTGGACTTGTCCATTTTGAAGCACAGTTCAGTGTTGGGTTGTTCCATAAAGATTTGCATGAGAACTCTTACATGTACATGAAGGGTTTTGAAGGCCGAGGAAAACACTAGATGCTTTGTTGGCTCATTAAATCATGCATGGCCATTAGCAGATTATTTTGTTTGGCTAGAGCTCCAGTCTTCAGCAAAAGAAAACAAGATTTCACAAATAACATGTAGAGCTCATATTGGATATCCTTGTCTTTCCAGGAAAAAAACAAGAATTTGTATGTGGTACCATTCAAAGAAGTATGATCTTGTTCTCATGTGTTTGTAAATTTTAATTGAATATTGACAAATTCTGGGCAAAACACACCATATCAAAATTCTTCAGGTCTGTCCGGGTTACGTCATTAAGTTTCGACCAATCAGATTGGCCATCATCTCGATGAAGACCAACTTTCTCGGGGGACGGTATACTTTGATCCAAACGGACTTGTCCCTAGCCGCTCAGGGACTCTCCGGCATGCTATGTGACGTCTGAGGAGGAGGGCGCCCTCACCTTCGGAGGGGCGTGGCGCCACAATACTTTTCAGTCTAGTTGATGGTGACTGAGATTTGAATATGGTTTAAATATGCTTGGACATTTTATCATCTGTCATCGTCTCATTTAGCAAGAAAGCCAAATTTGAGAATTAATTATTTTTCTCTTAATGGGCTAGTTTCTTGCTTTATGCTCAGTGAAGGATATGAAGTCGGTCACACTTTCGAGAGTTGTAAGAAAGAGCTCTGTGAATGAAAGCACTGTGTACAACTTTATTTGATTAGCTTCATCAGTACTTAATCCTGTCTGAAGAAGTCCTTGATTGAAATTTGACTAAAAAGAAAAACAACCCTGTCCAAGGATTGCAGAGCAGATGGTCTTAGTGATTTTTTCTTCAATGTCCTGCCGTCACAAGTAGTCTTTTAACAATTAGATGGTAACAAGGCCACACTCTTTACAAATCAAGCCTGTGTGAAATAGGCAGAGCTTTCTCAAACTGCTTGCCTCTTCAGGAAGTTGTCATTTATTATGTCTGGTATTTCCACCTTGAAATAGATGGACATATGCTAGGCATGCAGACAGTCAATTAAACACAGGTTTTCTTGTTTGACCCATCTGAGAACATCAACTGTAACAGACCCTCATATTAGCGATACTAATTGAATTCTACCCAAGGAGCATTTCTTCCTTGAATTAAGCCACATATTCAAAAGAAATTCAAACATCCACACCCAGACTTGTACACCATGCCCCCCAAATATTTGCCCTCTAAAACAGTTGTCTTTATTCTGTCAGTTATGCTGTTATCTGCTTTTGACAGATGAAAACAATGGCACACTATTTCTTTAAAATTGATATTTTCACATTTTTGTGGCAACATTCCAACCATGGACAAATAAAGTCAAATAAACTAAATTTTACATTTCCTGAAAAAACAAACCCTTGCTTGGATTCATCTGACAAAGGAATCTTCACAAACAAATGAGTCAATGATTTGGAGTCAAGCTTTACATTGCATAAAACTTTACCGGTAGTTTCCTGGATTTGGTTGAAATGTTCAGATTAAATTAAACTTTGTTGGCTATTTATGCCTTATTTTCTGCAGATTTTCGGTGAAAGTTGAACTACGCACTTCCTCACAGGAGGGGTTGATCTTTTACTTGGGATCGGAGAATAACCCTAATATCTACTGTGCTATGTATCTCAAGATGGGCTATGTATTCTTCTCGTTTGATAATGGACAGAGGAATGGAAACAGAAATGTCTTGTCTCAATATGTAATTGATGATGAGCAGTGGCATGCGGTAAGTGTCAAAATTGACCGATGGAATTGAATAAGAAGCAAATGAAAATCTTTGTAGAATTCTGTGGAATCTCAATCAAAAGTAGTCGTGTAGAAAGTGTATTGAAGAGTAATCCTGTGGAATGTATAGGGGATCATTTTTTGTCATGAATCTTGCCCGTCTTCTTTGAAATAACATGGATATTGTGAAATGTGCAAAAATCATTGAAATCTTTGTAATGTTAATTATCAAAATAGTTATGTGAATTCCTAATGGACTCCAACTGTGAGTAATTGTAACTTCAAAAGTTTACTAATCAAAAAAGGAAACAGTCATAAAAATGAGATAATAGAACAATTAGAGAAAGACTTTCGATGATTTATATTTAACCTGTTGAAGTTTTGAACTTCTCTTTGATTTTGCCTGAACCTGTTTTTCAATGGACTAGTTGTATTGACCTTACATTGAATGCATGGAACCTTACGTAATGATTTATATTTTTTGTCTGCTACCTGTTAGGTCGAGGTTATGAAGAATCGTAAGACGATTTCTCTTACCCTGGATACCTTTGAACCACAGAAAGACAGATTCCCAAAGAGAGTCAATGTGGTTGATTTTGACTCACCCCTTTATGTTGGTGGTCTTCCATCTGCTTACTCCAGGACTATCAATGGAATAGTAAGGAAACAATGTGTCTCGTGCATATCCTAACATTATCTATGTTCCTGAGCAAGACACAGGACTTCAAGTATTTCTGACGAGAGCAAATGATCATCTGAAATAGCCGTGGGGGGAAAGTTTTGAAATTATGTAATCAACACCAAGTCTTGCAAAAAATGTATCATTTTGCTTAGGGGTTGTCATTCGACAGACTTTTAGCTGCGAGTCAAAAAAGCATCATAATGATTTCCAGATCGTTAAATTTTTTTCTCATTTGTTTAAACTTTCTGATTTTCTCACCAGAAAATGCGAAGTTTTGAAGGCTGCATTCGCAAGATCGACTTGAACCAAATCAAGCTTGATCTAACCCAACCTCAGATCAGTAACATGGTTACGCCTTGTTTCATGAGTACAGAACCAGGGGCATACTTCCAAGGCACGGGGTATGCCATACTGGGTAAGTATACACAGAATATCTTGGATCTGGGCATCTAAGCCCTCAATCATGAATGAATCACGGGTGGAAAGGAGGAAATCAGGTTATTAGCTTTTCACTAGATTCCATTTGCACTTTTTGTTTTAACAGCTTTTTGATGGTACATGTATTTTTTTCAGCTGAGCAGGTGGCAATGGATGTTGATTTTGTTTTGAGCTTCAAGTTCCGAACAACGCAACAGTTTGCAGTGCTTCTGTCCGTTCAAGATGATAAAGATGGCGGTCTGGCCTTAGAAATCATCAACAGAGAAGTAAATAGTTGTATATATGTATGAAAAAGGGCTGTGGTTGAGTCTGTGACAAATCTCTGCAAGTCCCTCACAAGTCATCTAGTATCTAGTAAAGTCGCAAGCTTATGTAGTGTTCATCCTGTGACATGTGAACAGTCTTGTGATGGACTTCACTATGGGCATGTAGGGTGGGCACGAGGAATAAGAGACAATTGCCTTCAGTGCCCCTGGTCTTTGCCTTGATGTCCATTGTCTTTGCCCAGAGTCCAGCCCTGGGCATGGTTGTAAACAATTTCCTGTAGTAATGATTGTGTATTACGGGTTATGAATTGAACTGATTAAATGGATGGAACTGATCAAATGGATTTATATCTAAGCTCAGTTGGAAGTCATGTTTCATTTTCATAACCAACCCTTTACTCTCTACTGTTTGTCAACAGCTTGTCCTACGAGCTGATAACAACCTCAACGGTCCTCGCCGTATTACCTTCAGTGGAGCTGATAATGACATCCACCTGTGTGATAATCAGTTCCATACTGTGCACATCATCCAACAGACCAACGAACTTAATCTTTTTGTTGATGATGACAACTTTGAATACAGCGGTGATGGTGGGATTACTGCTGAGACGTATGGTACAATTTCAGTGGGAGGTTTCCCAGGTAAGAATGATAAGAATTTTGATGAAAGTTTTCAGAGAGTTGAGGGAATGTTAGGTGACCTTTTGTGTTGGATATTCTTGGTTCAAAAAGCTATTTTAAGCCCAGTTCCTATATGAGAAAATGTCAAATCCAAAAGCAGCCTTAATAACAAAACAAAGGTTTCCCAAATGCAGTTTTTTGTGAAAAGCTAGCTGCAGCCTTTCTCTTTAATACTTTCATTTTAATACCGTCACCTTAAGTTATTGATGGATATGAAACTATCCATTGACAGATTTTTATTAAAACATGGTTTTCAGAAGAAGTCTTGTTCAACCTCTCTGCCAGTGGGGCCTGTAGAATATTGTTGGCCTTTTTATTTTCCCTTTTAAAGGCATGCTTAAAACTTCTCGGCAGGAGGACAACAGAACATAAAACCACACTGTCATTTTTACATTTTAAGCAGATGCTATTAAGAAATAATCTACTCTTTTATTATTACCAGAACCAATGTGGCAGCATCCAGGAACTATTCGAACAGCCTTTAAGGGCTGCATTCAAAGCTTCCGTATCAACTTGGGCATACCTTACACCTTTTTGTCCTCCTTGGAGTTAGTTGACATTATTGCAGACCAGTGCCCAGTCACCTAGTCTGCTTGGAAAGTTAATTTGATTCTTTCTTAGGTAAGGCTATCAGATATGGATATGAGACCTAAACTTCTTACAAGAAAAGATATTTAAACTGGGTTTATTCATGTCAGGCCATCCTCATCACCGTGAAAAAAGGAGTGTTTACAAACTTTGTAACATCTCTGAATCACAATTCTATAATTTTACTTTTCTTAGTTTTGAAGTTATTCAAAGTAATAAGGGAAATGTTTCAAGCCTTTTTTTCCATACCACTTTTCATTAACGATTTTTTTCTTGCAGTAGCTGAGATGTGAGGTGATTTTTAGAAATCTTCCCTGTAATTGAAACATCTGGCAGCAGAAGTTTCTGTGGTGCTTCATCTGAAATATTATTGGTCAGCTTTCAATCAGTTTGGCCTATTAAATGATTTGTGTTTGTACAAGAGATTTGTAATGTCCACTTTTAGATTATTTAACAAATATTAATGCTTAAGAGGCAGCCTGTGATTGGACAATTTGAATGTTGACCTTTAAAGTCTATAACTTGACAGTTGGTTCAATTTGACAGTTGTCCAAGTTGATCATCTGAGATATTTTGCAATGTAACAAGATTTATATTTGCTTTCATGATAAGACAGTTATACAGTCAGAAATATTTGAATTAAACAAAATATTTCTCTTGCTTTGGGTCATAAGCTGAGCCAGGTTTTGATATCTATGAATGGCCTAGCTGTCAACTTTTTACCAAAATATGACTGTGACAACAGTGCCTTCAGGCAAACGCTGCAATTTTATTTGTAAAATGCATAAGACTGTCAGAAAACTTCATATATGTCAAGTCATTGTGATTCTTTAAGCAATTATTTGTAATTAAATGGTATAAAAGATATTTTATGCAGTTTTAATCAAATCATGTGCATAACATTTTATGTGTGTAGTTTGTACCTACTTGTATGTTTGTAAGAGTATATAAATTATGATGTAGAACAACTATTTAAAAGAGATTATCAACTGGTAGGCTGAGTAGAGTTGTAGAATTTTCAAAACAAAACTATTTATTGAGAGACTTAATCAACTGTACCAATTAGTTCTCAGCATTATGTCTTATGTGGTTATGGGCTGCGTATTATGCTTCCCATAGATAGAGAACATTAGAAATGTTGGATCAGGTGTCTGGTTCAGACCTCTATAATTATGAAAAGTTAGAATGACACTGAAGCGACTGGGAACAGTCTACCCCCTTTGCCCCTGTTGTGGTGCACAGTCGAAAGAGTGCTGTTAATATAAGATTTTGCTTATAACACGGAAAATCTTGGGTCCCAATCCTTAGTTTTTCTGTTTTCTTTTCATTCCCGATAATACAAGGTTTCTGTTATAACAAGGTAATTTGCAAGTTTAAAGAACCTCGTATTAACGAGGTTCGATTGTACACACATTAAAATAAACCAAAGCAGCATTAAAACAGTATGTAAGTCAATGGTGCTGGCCCAAAATGACGTGATTAGCTCTGTCATTAGGTCATCTGTTTTAATGTTGTATCTTCTATTTTATATCAACATCTTAGAATTTGTACCAAGGATTCAATTTATTTTGGTATTTCATTAAAGGAAATTTAGTTTAACTACAAATTATTTTTATTGTACTGTCCGACATGATGGGTCTTTGATGGAAAGTCACCATTATATTGTGATTGACATTATACATTGTGTTCATTTCACCTTGAAAGGTTAAATACTTGTCATTGAAAGCTATTAAAATGTGTAATCAATTTTGATATATTTGTGAAAAGTTTTATTGGCAATGTATCTGAATGAAGATGCAAAGTAAACTCCTTGCAAATTTAAATGCTTTTCACTGAAAATTCTGATTCCTATTTTCCTGTAAATGGCTATCCGAATAGGCATCCACATGTATTTCTGCATGATTTCATGGAAAAGGCTTATCAAATTTGCCCCCCCCCCAAAATGCAAAGGCTAACCCCTTGCAACTTTAATTACTCTCAGAAAAACGAAGTAGATTAACATGCAAGTTGTGTTTTTGGACAGCGGTACTATTTTACTGGCTAGCAAAATTGATTAGCACACTGACCTATTTATTAAATGATAACAGTGCAAGGAATACAATTCTTAAAATTCTTAACATGTAAAGATGGCATGCTTGCCGAAAATATAACCAAGGCATTGTACCCTTGGCATGTCCTTGTGCGCATGTGCAAAAGTTGGGGTGCTTGCCCTTGACACTTGACTCGCTTGTCAAAAGTGAACAGGTCATTTTACGACTTGCCCAGCATAAGCTTTATCGCAAATACTACATGGGTGATTTTACAGAATGGTAGAAAGGCATTGTGGGAATGAAAAAGGAGCAAACATTGCCCCTTTTTCCTTCCCACAATGCCTTTCTACCATTGTGCAAAATCGCCCATGCAGTATTTGCGATAAGGCTTATGCATGTGAAATGGCAAGCTTACGGACTGAATTAGAGTTTTACCCTTGCCGTTACTAAAAAATAATGGTCTAAGCTTAATTGAATACTTGATGTTAATTTGTTTTATGGGCCCACCGCTGTACTTGCGGTAAGATAGGAATACATGTATTTGTTTTGCCACCGCTGAACTTGCAGTATAAGGCAAAACTCTAAAACGTAAAGAGGATATTGTTGTTAATTCCAACAATGGTTAACTTTAAAGAGTACCTCTAAGGAAAACATGTTTTCTCTGATTTTATCTGTTCAAATAAATATGGAAGCATCCAAATCGAATGCAGTATCATTTGTCTTCAGAGCTCAACTATAAAAAGCTAGCAAGGGCTTTATGTGTGTTCATGCCAAGATGCAAATTCTGAATGTAGATTGCGTCATTCTGAGAAAACGACAGGAACCCTTGCCCTGTGTTTGTTGTGGATAAACCTTGTGCATGCCAAATAATGCATGTAGCCATTGTTTGGCATGTGAAAGAGTTTATCCACTAAAATCAGAGAAAACATGTTTTTCTTAGAGGTGCTCTCTAACTATTAAGAGTAAAACAGTTAGAATTTAAAGTTGATGCTGCGAGTCGGTCAGACAGATACACTGCAAACAACAGCACGTGGGTGTGGTGGCCCGCGCACATGTGCACGTTGAGTTCGGTGACGGTGGACTAGTAGCGCATGGGTGGTCACTTTAATCTGTTTATTTTCGTAACTTAATTTGTGTATCATCAAGACAACACGTACGCAGTTAGTCTCTGAGGAATCGCTGGCACACCTACATGATGGAGTAAGTACAATGTATTTATCCCACACTATACACTTACAGGAATAAAATTCATAGGCAGTTCATCCTTGACATGCTTGAGAAAGTTGAGACCATGGAGAAAGGAAAAGATCATGTTGAGAATAATCCTAGGAGTAGGAGTAGGATCAACACGCATGCCTACAATACATCATACATGGCCCATTTCTGTGAAAATGACATGAGTATAACTAATATGCCCACTTAGGTTTTGAACCCATTTGCAAATTGTTGATCTCATCCAAGCAAGTCGTTGGGTGTGATGATGTGCTCACGTGCAGCTGTAATATTACTTGGCCATCCCATATGATATTAGCCCAACAAAGTCAAAAATAATTTTTTTTTGGCTGAGAACATAATCGACGGTAAACCTGTCTTGGGGTATAATTTCCCCCAGAATTTAATGATGAAAGCCACAGTTTTGAATCTTTGAACGGTTTTTTGCAGCTCCTTAAAAATAACAACATGAAAATGAATATTTTTTTTGTGAAAAGAAAGTTTTATTATAAATGGGTGAATTAGTTAAATCATTTTATGATTATTTTAATTTCACAGATCAAGCCCCTTATTGTCATATCTGCTCTTGGAACATTGATGAGGGTCCAAGCAAGACGGTCAGATTGTGGAATCAAAGAGGGCCATCGTTGGAAGAGGATTTTAAAAAAAGGGTGAAAACTGCATGTATCACTTTGCAAATACTGACGTTGACCCAAACCCCGCCAGATGCAGCATTCTGTAGCAGATGTAAAAGTCTGATGCACTATAGCCGTGTTCCCAATGTCAGTGTCAATCTACCACGCATTCTCATGTAGACTTTTTTAACCGTAACGGAATGTTTATTCACTGTGTTGGGCCTAATAAGACCAGCTGATTACATTGCCTGCACTGTACAAATCATGACGAAATTGGTGAAATTTGACAAAAACAAATGCAAAATCAGACTAATTCGGCCAAATCTTACACAAAGACGAACTCGTACAGGAAGAGCCCTGTACACAATGTGTGTATAGCATTATCTGGCACGCCGATCACTGTGTGCGCGCGGCATGCCGCTGTACTGTATGCATGGAGCTGGAGGCTGGGAACCATACAACCATTTTCTCTGGTTGCGGTCAATCTACATTGTATGGAAACTGTTCCCATTGGACTTTTTGCACCCTTGCTAACTTACCGTGGCTGCATGAAAATCCTCTGCGACCTTTTCGGCCTGTTAGTTTTATATCGTGATTGCGGTAAGTTGACAGGGATGTCAGTTTACCATTTGTTCTCATTGGATTTAATTTCTAATTCTTCAGGGAAGTTATGGTAAGTTAACCAAAAAAAGTCCAATGGGAACATGCCTTTGATGCACTGGGCAATCAACAGCAGCCAAACAAACTGGTCATGTTGAGACAATGGGAGCTGGTCTCATGGAACAATGCCACTGTTGGATCTTGTGGTGGCTGTCAACCACAGACTCCCGGGCTGTGTGGCCTTAGGAAAGAGGAAAAAAGAACTGAACACTGCCTGAATGGCACACTGGTAATGGAAAGAGGAAAAAAAGAACTGAACACTGCCAGAATTCCCTGATTTACATCACAGAAATAGCACCCCCACTCATCCAGAAATGCTGACAAACTTTAACGTTTATAGCAAGATACCGAAAATTGTGAAATATTCTCTAAATTGAAAAATTCAGAGGATCTGATGTTTTAATCCTAGCAGAATCTTTCTCCCAGGCCAAGTTAAGTGTGTAAGTTTCAAGCAACACAGTTGAATTTTAAGTGACATGTACATGATATAAAATTGAACATCTGGAAGGGTAAATAAAGGAAGTTTTGCAAAACTGTTTGACCAAATATATACTGAACGAAATACATGCATGGTCTGAATATTTTGTGTTCTCTGTCCTTTAATTAACATATTGAATTTTCTGTGTTATTTAAATACATGCAAATGTGCTGTGCCCTTTGACCTTTTTGAAATTGCGCAATCCTAACCTTTAAATATAAGTTCCGAAATTTTATCTATCAAGAGGCCAATGGCCTGGTGGTCAGCGAGCTGGCTGTCAGGCCAGGGGACCCCGGTTCAAATCCTGGGGTCCCCGGAAAAAGAGGTTTTTTTTTTTTTTTTTTTTTTTTTTCT